GCTTGCTTACAAATACATATACCCTCAAAGGTCATACATATGCAGATGAACATAGCTAAGAACACACTGCTTTTTCGTATTTTTGTACTTTTGTGTATGAGTGTATTGCCTGCATTGTAGGTAGGTGAGCTTGTGCAATGCCCATGGAGGTCAGAAGAGGGCATTGGATCCCCTGGAACTCAAGTTACAGGTTGTTAGTCACCGTGTGGGTTGCTGGGAATCGAACCTGGGTCCTCTTCAAGAGCAGTCAGTGCTCTTAACAGCTGAGCCATCTCTCCAGCCCCTAAACACACACTTCTTAAGAAACATTCCTATTCCAATTGCTTTTCTCTAATTTTTAGAAAGGCACTGTTGTAAATAAATAAATTGGATGGATGGTCATCAAAAGCTTTGGGTCACATGACTCCACTCTAAGTCTCCCCAAATAAATCATCATTATGAAGCTCAGCATCTTGGCCCACCAGGAATATTCAAAGGCGTTTGTTTTTATGTTAGCAATGCTTTGTGTGGAAGTTTAATTTTTATCCCTCAGAAGCACCTCTCTGCATCTAGAAGCCTCCAAAGATTACCTGGTAGAGTAGAGCCATCTGCTTTTAGGCAGGTGGATGGTAAAAATCAAGAAGAAGTGGTGATTGTTTATTCCCAAGGGAAATCTCCAGATGGAGGATCTGAGTATTTCATTATTCAGCCAGCACTCTTTCTTCCTTCTAAACAATTAGACTTTCTCTTAAGTACATTTATGTGTACTTATTTGTATCCAGTTCACTGACTCAGGTGACTAGCAGAGCAGTGTGTCCCTCACAAAACTCTTCTAGAATCTATCAACAGTCACAGTCACTCAGCCTTGCATTTCAAGGTGCAAAACCCCCTTCTTATTAGACTTGTTTTCCATGATTTTAAGCATTTCTGTCATTTTTCTCTCTTTTCCCATTTCTGTACATCCTTCTTCAAAGTTTGAGCCAGAACTGGACTCAATGATCTTCAAACCAAATACACTACAGTCTGATACACTTCTTATATGCAATGCATACCTTTCTTTATAAAATGAATTTAATATATTACGTTTTTTATGTGCATGAGTGTTTGCCTGCATATATGCATATATGTGCATGTTGTGTTTGCCTGGTGCCCACCCACAGAGGCCAGAAAAGGGCATCAGATCCTTTGGAACTAGAGTTACAGGCATCATGAGCTGTCCAGTGTGGGAGTTGGGAACTGAACCCAGGTCTTCTGCAAGAGCAACAAGTGTTCTTAACCACTAAGTATTCTCTCTAGCCCCTAATACTTATATTTTTAAAATTAAAAATAGATGAAAACATTTTTTAGCAACTGTACTGACATCCTGGAATAGTTAACAACAGAGTCGGCATGAACCAAGCCCAGAAGGCCAGCCAACTATCGGCTGTTGTTTCCTTGTGCTTGCCTAGGTGCCTACCACTGGAGAAACATATTCATTTTTAAAATGTCTTTTTAAATCCCTGCTGTGGTGCAGAATTTATATTAATCATATATTGGTGTGTAATTTACCTGTACATTGAATCAATTAAAATGTATTTTTTAAATATTTTATTCATTATTTTTATTTTATGTGTATGAGTGTGTTGCCTGCATGTATGTGAGTGCACCCATGTCGTGCAATGCCGCGGAGGTCAGGAGAGGGCTTCGGATTCCCCTGGAACTGGAGTTAAGGATAGTTCGTAGCCTCCATGTGGGTACTTGGAATTGAACCTGGGTCCTCTGCTAGAGCAGTCAGTGCTCTTAACCACTGAGCCATATCTCCAGCCCTAAAAATGTATTTTTAAGAATCAAAGGGACTGGAGAGATGACTCAGCAGTTAAGAGCACTGACTGCTCTTGCAGAGGACCTGGGTTCAATTCCCAGCATCCATATGATGGCTAACAACTGTCTGTAACTCCAGTTCCAAGGGATCCAATGCCCTCTTCTGACTTCCTCGGGTATTGCACGACATGGATGCAGTTACACACATGCAGGCAATGCACTCATACACATAACACACACAGATAATAATAATAATAATAATAATAATAATAATAATAATAATATAAAGAATCAAAAGTCTCTGCTAGCAAAATACAATATGGGATAATGGAAATTCACTTTGGGCCAGCAGCTGAGAACAGCCCTGCACATGTCAGATCAATACCCAGCACTGAAGAAAGGCCATGTCTGAACCCTAGAGATCCAGTTCCTGCTAACTAAAGGTGACTGTCCTTGCCTGGCAGTGAATGCCCATATGGCACCTTTTCTTCCCAGGATGGCCCTTGCATTGATGCTTGTGGTCCATGGTAATCACAAGCCCTTTCTGCTGTGCTTGCTCCTTCATTTCTCCCTGTCTTCCATTTGCAATGAACCTTCTGTCACTTACTTGTCACTGAATACCTTCCTGTATTTACAAAGCTCCCTGGATGGAGACTTTGCTAGTCTCAACATCAAGATAGGAAAAATCGTATCTCCATGACTTAGAATATTCCTAACCCACACCTAGTTACATTTATCTGGGATATTTGATAAGGTTGTTTCAGCTGTTTTCACCTAAAACTAAGTATTTTGAATAAAGTCTGGGACTACTTTGGATAGGTAGGGTATGTGGGATAGTTGTAAAATACTAGTTTTAACCAGGAACTTAAATGTTGTAGCCTACTACCCAAAGTGCAGAGTGGTACAAAAACCCAAAACTCGTTTACTATGTCCTTTATAGGAAATAATACAATGAGTGTGTGCTTGTGCATATGTGCATGTGTGTGAATGTATATGTGTGATGTCTGGGGTTATGGGGGGAACATGAAGACAGAGGAATGAGCTATTGAGTTTGCAATGTAATACATATCTTTTAGATTTATTTATTTTTACTTATGTGTATATGTGTGTGTGCCTTCTTGTCTGTATGTGTACCATGTGTGTGCAATGCCCACAGAAGTCAGAAAAGGATTAAGATCCCCTGTAACTGCAGTTAGAGAGCACTCTGAGCCTCCAGGTGGGTACTGGGAACTGAACCCAGGTCCACTGGAAGAGCGGCAAGCACTCGTAACTACTGAGCTATTTCTGCAGCCCCACACTGTCATACATTTTTTCTAAGTAGAACCTGTTAACACACATTCCACAAATGACCACTTGACTTGGTAGGTAACTCTTGCTGTATTTATTTCATACTTTAACATATTTACAATTGTTGTTATACAGTAGCTTAAGTGAAGCTTCAGAGAAGATATTTTTAGCATTTTTATAAAAAATCACAAATTGAATCATTCAACCACATTTCCCGTCTTTTACCCACCTCCCCTTTAAAGATATGTGTGACAAATGTAAAATATGAAGAGATTTACTAAGAACTCTGATGATGTCACTAAACCTGGCTTAAGGCTGGACTTCAATATAACAAAGAGAATTCTTAAGTAGAAACCTTTTGTTAACCACCAGTCAATCAAACCCATAGAAGCTTAATTTTGAGATACATTGTAACAGCAAAAAGAACACAAGCCCATGGATGTGGAAAGAGAAAGACCTTCTAAAGCTCTGATTTGGTTTTAGAAAGGGGGTTTGGCGAAAATGTACATTCATTAGAAAAGCCAGCTAAGGGTCTGAAGATGGTGAGAATCTTTAAAATAATTAAAGAGACTGAGACTGAAAGCCTTTGCCCTGGTACACTGCAGGTCACCACTTATAGTACTGCTGGATGAACCTGACCAAAGGAGCAGCAAGAGAGGTACATGTGGGCTCCTATGTCAGAGTGGCACTAACTGGTCTTGGAAAAGACAGCTCACATAGATTCTGTAGCATGTCTTACCATTGCTCAGAATATTCAGGAACTCAGGTCAACAGTCTCCTGTTTATAAAAGATGAGCCACTCAAAGTAGTCCAGCTAGAAGGACCGGGTAAATCGATCTACTTGGTCTAAGCCCCTTGTACCTGGGCAATGTTGCTCCAGGTATCACTCCTGCCTAGTCATTGGAGCACACAGATGAAGCCTCTCTTGGCAAGATATAGGGATCTGCCACTGGCAAAAGTTTGCTCAATGTGAGATCAACAGAAATGACAGGCTGACAGAGTACTTGTCTACTTGGTATGCAGTTAGTATGTGAATAGAGGTGGCTAGAAAGTAGATTTGACCCTGAAAGTCTTCATGACAGCATTCTGCGTTAAGAACCCTGGAATAAGTTGAAACACTTTCCCCCATTTTTCATGTGTGGGAAAAGGGCTTTTGCATTGCTTAGGGCAACAATAAAGTGATAACACATGTAGAAAAGGGCAGTAAGGCCCTAGAATCCTTCCAGTCTGGGGGAACCATGTTAAGGTATTTGTGTTTAGATTCCTGGTCCACTAATTTTATTCATTTACATTTGATTTTTCAGTGATAGGACACGTTGGAATTGGAGATGATTCTGCTATGGTATTAAATAGTACTTAAAACTCATCTGGTATTGAGTCAATGTAGTGACTACCAGTGAATTGACATAAACTCACATCTCATTTCAGTGGAAAGCAAAAACTAGAAAATGCTACACCCTAAATAGGCAACAACATATTTTACAAGCATTTCAGAGATTTAGTAAATATCATGGATGATTAATTTAGAAAACAAAACTAAAAGTCAAGGATTATTTAATGCATGTAACAATCTTTCCCCTATATTTTTTTGCAGTAAATGCAGACCAGGGAGCCATGGGGCAAGTAGCCCTGAGTAGGTTTGCAGTCTTGGGCTCTGTGATGATGTTGTTTCCAAAGATGAAGAAGAAAAGGTTTGCTTTATAATGTTTCCATCATATTGTAACTGATTACTGCTGGGTGAGGAAGAGCTGATCTTCCTAACGTGAGGGACTCTAGATAGGCTGACTAGACCTCAGTAGATGAACTTGCACTGAGGAACGTCTACTAACTTGACACAACAGGCCTTAACACAAATGACAGAATGTATGAACTCCAGTGGTGGGGGCTATGGGAGGGTGCCAGTGGGGAAGGGAGTATAAAGATGGTTAAGATTGGTTGAGATGTTCTGTTTGAAATACACAAAAATTCAATTTAAAAAATAGAAAAAAATTATAATGTTTCCATCAGAGCATCCTGTCATGCTAGGATTTCTACTCTTAGAATAATTGTTTGGTGTTCACTCTTTGAAGAGGCATGCTCAAACATCTTACCCCATTTGTAGCACAGTGGGTGAGGGAACACATTTGGCCTAGAATACCATTTACATCATTATGCTCTTCTGCTAAAGACACATGGCATGCAAATGTTCAATGTCATCTCAAAAATACATGTAGTATGCCCAGTAAAATACATTGGCTAGCATAAAAATCAAAGGAAATAATAGTTTGGAATATCGATCCACATTGCTAGGGTTTTGAATCGTGAAATAATCAACAATTCTGGCAATCTTTTCTCGGAAGACAAACTTGAACTTGTCACTGGCTTTCATTGTCAAGTTACCATAATCGACATTATCACCAGAAATTTCAAGGCTAGCAAAGCTGATCTTTCGTTTAAAGCTGGAGATGGAGCTGTTGATGATGTTAGAAATATTGACTTCTTCCACTTCCTTCACTGCCCCCTAGTTCAGAGACAGTATAGTTAGCTTGGAAGACTGAACACAGCAACACACATGTGTAGATGTTGTGCAGAACAGTGTGCTATGAAGTTAGAAGCCCTGGGTTTAAATCATATTTATTCATTCTGCTACTATTGTGAAACTCAGTTACTTAAATTCCCATGGAATCCGACTTCTTTGTAAATTGGTGATGAGAGTTATCCCTATGTCATGAACTAATTGGAATATTAAGTGGTATAAATTGTGTTAAACACCTAGTAGGTATTTGTAGGTCTGTTCTATTCCAGGGAGAAGAGAGCAACTTATTAGGAGACATAATACAAACCAGTTGTATCTTAAGGTCTTCTCTGCACATAGAAACAGTGTTGCTCCCTGAAAATCCAGGGAGTGTCCACTACACTACACGATGCCAATGACACGGAATGTGCAGAGTATAATGAAGTCAGAAAGAATGAAGTTTAGCTTTTTGCCCAGTCTATTAGGTGCGAGGTTTTGGGTAAATTGCTTCACCATTTTGAGGGCAGATATCTCAATTATAAACTAAAGATAATAATGGTATCCATTTTACTGAGTTTTGGATGCCCTTGGAGAGATGCTAACAGATGTTTAGGATACAACACATACTCCATACATAGTGCATCTTTTGGTATATGTATAACAAACAAAGGCATACTGGTATCTTCAGTGGAGGAGCTCAGGAATTCTTCAAACCCCATTTGTCAATCTAGCAAACCTGTGTGTGTGTGTGTGTGTGTGTGTGTGTGTGTGTGTGAGAGAGAGAGAGAGAGAGAGACTTCCTTTCTGTTCATTAAGGAAGCCTACAGAGAATAAAATACATGAAATCCATAGTCTCCACTGGCTCATTTGCCTTTGGTATTTGGATAACATGGCACGTAAAGCATTGCTCACAATACCATACACAAGGACAAAACAACTTGCTCTTCTGACGCCCATCTCTTCCCTTTAGACCCACTGTGGTCCTGGCACAGTGCTAAAGGTGGGTACTTTTCTGAATCAGATCCCTATCATTTTCTTGTTTGTTAGTATGAACTTTAGCACGCTGTCTATCAAATTTAGTTTCCAAATAACCCCAGGGTTCTATGGGGCTGTGGAGAGTAATTTTTAATGGGCTGGCCTGTTGCTCACTGTATGAGGGGAAAACAAAATGTGTTGGACTCTTACCTCTACCTCTTACCCTCTATCCCTGGGATAAGTCAGTTATCCTTATTGTATAATTGTAAAATTGATGATAACTCCTTCCCTGGACTGTTGCGAGCAGTTCAAATGATATACAATTTATAAAAAGCTTGTTAATGTTTGGCACATGTAAATGCCCAAAAACAATAACATTAACTATTATTCAGAGAGATGGAATATGGTGTTCTATGACTAAATGAAATAATGATAGTCTTTCTGGATTCACAGAAAAGTGTGCCAACCAAGACACATGTAACAAGGTAATTTCTTCCATATTTTTTGGATAGAACACTATTTGTATAATTTAAAAATATGAAGTTGTATTAAAAAAGAATTAAGTAATAACTACATGCTAGTCTGAAACTTGTATATAGCTGATCATGTCTGGTTTGATACTTTTTTTTAAACAAATTCTTGTTCTTGTAATTATAAGTTTTAAAAAATGATCTATTATTTCAATTTTATGTGTATGAGTGTATTTTCTGCATGTATATAAGTGCACCTGTGTTGTGCAATGCCTGTGGAGGTCAAAAGAGGGACTGGAGTTACAGATGGTTGTTAGCTGTCATGTGGATGCCGGGAATTGAACCTGGGGTCCTCTGCAAGAGCAGTCAGTGTTCTTAACCATTGAGCCATTGCTCCAGTCCCACTTGTAATTATAATTTTATGATGCATATGGATGACAGCTATTTTCTGCTAGAAAATCAAATTTTGATGTCCCATTTTGTTTGATGAAAAGAGCAATCTTTGTCAAGGGGCACCATGGCTTCCAGATGTGCTCACCCAAATGAGTGCAAGAATGACTAGAACAAAGTGAATTACTGGGGGACTAGAACCAAGTCTAGCTCACCTCTACAGGGCAGCACGTGGCCTAAGTGATGGATCAGAGACAAAGGCATCAAAATTCTTACCCTATTTTTGGCTGCCATCTGCTGTAAGGAGCTGTAGTGAGCAACCGCGTACTCCAGTAAGGCCCCAAACACAAAGCTGAAGCAGATCCCCAGGTACACATCGATGGCCTTTATGAAGCAGTTGGTGTTGGGTAGAGATGTGCGGGACCCGATCATCAGTGTGGTCATAGATAACACAGTGGTCACTCCTGGGAAAACAAGCAGGAAATGTCCCAAGCTGGTGTCCTGTTAACCCTCTCTGGGCAAGTGACTCCACTTAGGAGCTTGCAAGATGAGGACAGACTCAGAAATAGAAAAGATCTCATTTAAAGAGTCTGCCACCTTCTGGAACAGGGTCAATTTATTCATTTTGAACAGACATAAGTGATGCAGCTAAGTATTTTTACCTTCAGTCTTCTCCGCAGGGAAGGATGGCCAATACATAAAATAACTGACAATGGACTATCTAATCACAATTTTACCTCTTCTGTCACTGTTAAACAAGTTTTAAAATAAACTACCCCTTATAGTCTCTCTCTCTTTCTCTCTCTCTCTCTCTCTCTCTCTCTCTCTCTCTCTCTCTCTCAGAAATTCTCAAGAAACCAACCCCTTGTAAGTACCCTCTATCAATGAAAATAATGGTGGGGGGAAGTTCCTGATTAACCCAGTTCTTAGGAACTGCCTGTTGCAGCTGCTTACCAATGCAGGTTCTTGCAGGAACTGAATCGAGGGAGATCCAAAAGGAAACCCAGGATAACACCACCAGGAAAGTGGAAGGGACATAAGTTTCCAGAATAAAATACAGGACATTCCTCCGAAGCTCAAATTGCAAAATCAATCGTGTGTAATTTCCTGACAGGTAAACAAGAGATGAGAAATTGGGTCTGTTTGTGCAGATGTTTCAGTACACTACAGTCACACGAAGTCTTCCATTGTTCACCAACACTGAGTTAGCTATGAACTACCATTATGGTTCCACAAAGGGCCTTATTGTTACATAGAATGGGATTTATAGGGGTGCTGCTACCCAGCCCCACATTTATGTTCTTCCTGTGCTTTCTTTTATCATTGTGACCACTGATTTCCTTGCCTTCTACCTCACTAGACTATGAACCCCAAGGGAGCAAACCCTGTACCTCTCAGTTCTACATTCACAGGTTAAGTTGGTAATGAATACCTGTTTGATGAAAATTACCTAATAGACCTACTACATATAATTTCATGCTTTGTGTAGGTGCATGTGAGCACAAATGTATGTGGAGACCAGAGGATAACCTCGGATGTTGTTCAGGCAACATCTGCTTTTTGATTTGAGACAGGGTTTCTTCCTGGATTTCAGAGGTACTGTAGACTTTACAGTGTTTCCTGATCATCCTTAGGAAACTACCAATATATGTTAGAATGTAAACAATAGGGAATACAAGCAATAGGAAGAGATCATTAATACTATTTTTTGTTGCTGTAAATAAGCTATTGTAGTACAAAGCATGTGCCCATGGGTTCAAGTACCAAGCTGTGTTCCTGTAGTGATTTTGTGAATGGGAGGTCAACAAATAACAGGGTACTGCTTGCTTGGTAGGCTGGGTGGAAGCTTGGAGAGGCTGTCTTCTTGGGACCAGGAAAAGTCTGCTCAGACTAGAGTAGGGGAAAAATAGGGGAGCAGATGGGAGTGGGCCTACCCCAAATTTAAAGTTGGAAATTAAAAATTATACCATTTAATAGTCAAAGATCAAAAATAAATGTCACTGGAGAAATATAAGATCAAAATATACCATTTCAGAGCCTGAAGCAGCCCTAGAGACCAATTATGTTACTTTAGTGGAGGAGAAATGGAAACACAGGAAGTTGGAGAAACTTGGATAAGGACCCACAGCTGATATTAGTGAGATTAAAAGCCAGCTCTTTTGTCTTTTGGTTCAGTTATGTTTCTACTAGTCTATAATCTCTGATTTATTACCTCCATTTTGAAAGTCAACCTTTCAAAAAGGATCAACATTGAACTAAATAATCTTTTCTGGCTCAAGTGGGTGTCTGCTCTCTGGTATTAAGTGATTCTTAAATCTGAAATCATTTTTGCATGAACTCAAATTGAGAATTCAGATTGATAAATTATGAAAAGATAGCCAATTTAAAAACTTGCTTTAAAGAATAATGTGTGGGACTGGAGAGATAGCTTAAGAGTTAAGAGCATTTGCTGCTCTTGCAGAAGACTTGGGTTTGGTTCCCAGCATCCAGATGACAACTCACAACCTTCTGTAAATCCAGTTCCAGGGAATCCAATACCTTCTCCAGGCACACATGTGGTGTACACACATAAATACATCAAAATACTTATACACATAAAATAAAAGTAAATAAATCTTGTTTTAAAAAACCCTCAAACTTTGTCCTTATTCTTTTTTAAAGTGCATTCATTCATCCACTATAAAAACACTAGGGTTGGAGAGATGACTCAGTGGTTAAGAGCACTGACTACTCTTGCAGAGGACCTGGATTCAGTTCCCAGCACCCACATGATGGGTAACAACCTCCCATAACTCCAGTTCCAGAGGAATCTGATGCCCTCTTCTGTCCTCCATGTTGGCATTACACAACATGGGTGCACCTACCTACATGCAGGCAAAATACTCATACACATAAAATAAAAAATAAAATGTTAAAAGAAAGAAAATATTCAAAACCATCAAATCCAAGAGCTCTACCTCTGGTAAATGGTGAACAAATACCTTCAAGAATGAGATGTTTATGCTCTTATGAAGCCTTACAGCTGTTTTCTCCACCTGTGACCAGTGTGCTCATTAGAAACATGAGTGAATTTTATGAATGGGGAGGCACAGCATTTGAGCAGTCATTAGAAAATATCTGGAGGTTTCAGAGCTAGTTTTCAGAGCTGATTCAGAGGGCTGCTCTCTAGGACTATTTCAGCCCTGGATATAGAGTACACAGAAGTACAGACCTTACTTCCCTGACCCCACATCACTGACAAATGCCTGCCTGCCACTACTCCACAGGAATAGAAATGGAGAAGTGATATTTCTGATTCAGAATGCAAGCTTCTAAGTATTTTTATTCTGTGCAATGTGTCACAAGAGTTACCTGTCTCCTGCTGTGATATGGTGACTAAGGTGAAATACTGTTGAATGGTGTACTGAGCAAGTCGCAGATTTTCAAGCCCACGCACAGAATCGTTCCCTCTCAGCCAGGTGAACTCCACATCACTGCCATCATACCCCCCTGGCAAACAAAATTGAACCCTGGTCAGTGCAAGGATGATGCAGATGAATCTGATTTGGGAAATGCTACAATAGAAACAGCACGAGCTCTGTCCTGATGGCAGTTAAATCCAAAAGACCATGCCATGCAAAAGTTGGCAAGGCTTCTCAAGCGCAGCAGAATAAAGACAGTTGCTAGGACCATTTGCCATCAATTGAGAACTGGTTCTATGCTAAGAATTATCCTAGTCTGATGGATGATAAGTCTTAACAGTGGCTTCCTTCACTACTAAATGATACCTATTAAACATGTGACCATTAATACAAAAAGGCACCTGCTAGATTCTGCTTTTCAGTACAGTCTAAGCTTGGATGATGTTTTCATGGACTTTGGAAGTGGTTTGTTCATATTTCAAATTGCTATAAATGTAAAAATTACCTTAAAAATCCTATAATCAGTTACTTTATTAATCTGTCAACATGTGCATTTGATAAATATTAAAAGTAGTTTTACTAATAGTAGTTGATAGTAGTAGCAATAGTTACCTTTAAGGAGACATTTATATTGTCCCTTACATAATATGTCTTTAATGTTCTTAAGATCTTGCAAGATAGACATTTCTGTATTTCTTTAATTTTAAGATGGGCTTTTTTTTACATTTCTGAAATTGGGGTTGATCCTGCAATCAATTTATATATTCAAAGTAGAACTTGCATTTTCTCCTAAAATGTGGTTATTCAATAAATATTGTACCTTAGATGTGAGCAAGTAAACACTTGCCTGTTATATGTGAAAACTATGAGATGCTTAGGGGTTTCTTCATTTTCTCAGGATACAAGACAAAGCCTGCACTGTGCCTCATTCAGGAAAACTTAATCTCAAAGCCCATGGATGATGGTGATAATAATTATAATATCTATCACTTAGTAAACAGTTTCTTTCTAAGTGCCTTAGAACATTATCATCTTTAATCCTGTTTGAGAAGATATATGAATGGTTAATAAGCACACAAAGAGGTCCAACCTCATTAGTCATTAGGACAATGCAAAGCAAAAGCACATACTACTTTACACTCATTAAGATAGCTGTAATAAAGAAGGGACAATAAAAATGAGGATATTGACAAACTGGAACTTCAGTGGTGGGCATGTAAAATATACAGCCATTTTTGAAACTGGTTTGGTGGCTATCTAAAAACCTGTATATAAATGTATCATTTGACCCAGAATTCTAAGTGTCTGCCTAAGAGAAATGAAATCCTACTCACATAAAGACTTGTACATAAATATTCATAGCAGCACTATCTTCAGTGACCAAAATGTAAGAATAAACCAAATGTCCATCAATTGCTGCACTGGAAAGTAAATAGTACTTAGCACCAAAGAGGAAGTACTGGTAACATACCACAGCATGTATGAATCTCAGAAATAGTCTGTTAAAAAGTCATATTCAAAAGAGAACATCATATTGATTCCATTTATATAAAATATTCAGAAGTGGCAAATTCGTATAGGCAGGGTGTAGGTTAATGATGCTGGGAGCTGGTGGGTAGGAAATGGGGTGATTGCAAATAAGTAAAAGATATCTCATTGGGGTGATGGGAATGTTACAACAGTGCAACTTGTAAATAGTTACACAATCTGGTAAGTTTACCAAAAATCTTTGAATTGCACACTTAAAATGGGTGAATTTTATTATATATAACTTATGTCTCAATAAACCTGTTTTATAAAAGTCAACTCATTGAGTCAGACACTGTTACTTTTTTGATTTCACTGAGAAGGAAACTGAGGTTCAGAGAGGTTTGTTACTCAAAGTTATACAGCTAATGGTGGAGAAAGTCCTGCTATCTCAGCACCTGTGGTCTTAAACACAACAATCTACTGTCATTGTTTCAAATATATTGAGAATATGATGCCAGTGTTGGGACTAATATTGTGCCAAGTATCAACTATGGTAGTCAATGTCAAGGAGGCTTTGTCTGATAGTGCTTGAGTTCCTTCAGGATATTCAGGTTAAAATCATAGGTTATCCCTTGGAATCATCCAAAAATGTATGAAAAGCCAGCTGTCTAAATTGAACTGGGATCCCAAAGAAATGAAAAAAATCTATAAAAATGAAGAATGTACATTTCTACCTGAATATTTTGCTTTCACCATTAGTAAAGGCTCATAATTTTTATTACTATCATCCTCTGTCCCTGGGTGAACATGGGAAATTGTAAGATAATATCAGTTCCTTTTTAGGGATGGCATTAAAAAAAACTCTTAGTGAGGTTTCTATACCTAAATACATGGTAAGAAATCTTCCGTGGAACCTTCCTTTTCTCACTAGGGATGGTTTCTGTGCACACAAAGTGCTGAAGTTTCCAGGAGGATCTTGCTCCTGGGACTTGGGATGAGCCCAGTTGACACATGGAGGGCAATTACTTCTTCTATGTGGCACACAAAATTAGTTTCCTTCTTGATAACCTCAAGTTGCATTCTGCCACTGAACAGCTGTATTGCTTCAAGAAGGTTTTGCATATATTTTAGCATAATTAATCTGTCTGAATCTTTAATTAAATGTCTACTTCTGAAATATGGCTTCTGTCTCATAATGATTCTGTTCTCCTGGCATTGCCCTCTAGTGCCCTTATGTATAGAATGCCCATTGGTCCCTGGAACTTGGCTATAGTTTTTTTCCTCTTATGAGCCATACTTTGATGCCTTAATGAATCCTATTTGTGGTATTATTTCCCTTTCTCAGATGCCCAAATTTGGTGGGTGTTTCAAAGCAGCTTTCTAAGGAGCAATGGAAATTATTTAACAATCCCAAGAAATTAATTTGACATGCATTAATTTAGAGTGAACCTTTATTTCTCATTATAATAAATTCCCAGATTATAATTTAGATTGTCATATTAAATTTTACATATACTAGGTAGTCTCTTTTAAAAGTTATGTGATAAATATAAGTGACTGCTTTGTGTATTTGGTTTTGTCTTCTCCAGTGATGGGGATTGAACCCAGGGCCTTTCACATGCTAGGCAAGTGCTCTCCCTACAACCGATAACCTTTTTTTTTTTTTTTTTTTTTTTTTTTTGACTTTTTGAGTAGGGTCTCCCTGTAGCCACAGCTGGCCTGGAACTTGCTCTGTAGACTAGACTGGACTCAATCTCACAGAGATCCACTTTTCTCTGCCTCCTGAATTCTGGGATTAAAGGCATACACCACCGCGTTCAGCCTTTATTTTTCTCTTTTTAACCTTTTTTATGTTCCCTTTTGTTCCTGTGCTAATATTAATACTTCTAAGTCTTATGCCCTTTATTAGATGGTAGACTTCTTGAAGACTGTCATATTGGTTTTTATCTTTGTATTGCAAACATATACCACAGTATTTATCACAGAATAGTCATTTAGTTGTTGAATGGATGAACTAAATGTATTTTAATGTGGGTAGACAGATGGTGCTCAACCAGTCATCCAGACTAGTCAGAAACTTCAGTGGGAAAATATGTAGAACTGAAGTATTAAAATGAGTCAAAATATTTTCCTTAGGACACAGAGGAAAGGAAAAACATTGGCCTTGATCCTAAGTATGGAAAGGAACTGGCATTGGAATTGCTTGGGACTGTTGTCTGATAATCACATTGTAATTCAGCTTAACATTTGGCAGGATTTGAGAAACCCAAACAAATATCACATGGTTCCTCAATCTGGGAGTAAATGATGATTACAAATGGGCACTAGAGACCCTGGAATTCCCCATATAACTATTGGAAACCACATAATGGTATATTCAGGAAAATGTAAAACTCAGATCACAAAGGAGCCACTGAAACAAAATCCTCACAAGACTCTCCAGTCCAGTAGAAGAGAGCCATTGGGACTTTGGGCCCCTCTACCTGGGTTCCAGCCCTAGTGTTCCTCCTTACCACATCCCTTTAGGAAAATGCTAAATAAATTGTAATAAACCTTAATTGTAAAGTGGGAAAACACAGGATTGTTTGGAAGTTATCTAAGAAAATCCTTGACACATGGATGCAATGGTATTTACAAAGAAAAGAAAGTTGCTATTATTTTTCACTGTTCCTAATGGAAAGGTGGTTTGGTCAAGAAGACCAGGGCAACAGCAGATTAAGATCATAACATATGCTGTCCCTCCTACTTATAGGATCATCTGGAAGGTATCTATGAGAGCGCCTGACATGGATACAATGGTAATTACCAGGAAAAGAACTTTCTTATTTTCATTGTTGCTAATGAAAAAGTGGTTTGGTCAAGGAGACCAGGGCAACAGCAGAATGAAATCATAACATTCTGTCCCTCCAACTCAGACTTCCCCACTAGCCTCTCTACTTCTTCTGCAGTTGCATAGTAAAATTTATTTAGCAGCCACACAGTACAATTGCTTTAGGAACAGAAGAAAAGAAAAAAGAAAAAGAAAACTTTTGAGGCTTTCTGGGCCTCAAAGGATAGCTTGAAACATATTTACAGACAAATGGAAAGGGGGTTGATGGAAGGAAAGCCTGTGACCTCTTCATCAGCTTCTATAGAGACCTGGGGTTGATTTGGTTTTGGTAGAACAAGAGTGGGTGCATGGATGAAGGTCCTAGCCATAGAATGATTCACAACGAACTCACCTGGAATCATAGACCCTCTGAGGATTAGTAGCCTGATAGATGGCATAAATAAAATGTTACAAGTTTAAGTTTCAGGTGCTAGTCTAGATCCATTTTCATCAAAATGTTTTCTATAAAATAGAAATACTCATGAAACAGATTCCATGGTTATACAAGTTTGGGAAATGGTACCACTCCTTGGAAATTCATGAAATTGGGCCTCCTGAAAGTTCTGCAGTAACAAAGAATGTTACTATTTTAGGCTTTGTAGGCCACACAGTCTCTATCACAGATACTCAGATCTGTTATTACAGTTTGACAGCGACCATAGACAATACACAAATGACTGGGCATTGCTGTGCTCTAATAAAACTTCACTTCCAGAAACAGGAGAAGGGCTGGATTTCGTATATGGGTGTAGTTTGCTGACCCCTGATTTATACAATTAGCTACATTAAAGCATTTTCTGATTGTTTCTCTGCTTGAAGCTGGAGACTGATGCACAATGGTCCTCCCCCAAAGATACAACACTAGTCAGTTTGCCTTTGAGAACAATCTACATCTGTACAGGTTGAGTGACTCGATCCACTGTGGATCAACATCAAGAAAAAAAGTTCCTAGTTATGGGATACTCAGGAAACACAGATCCACTCAGGAAAGTCACCTCAGGGGTCTGTAGGAAAGTCACCTCAGGGGTCTGTAGGAAGTATACTCACAGCTCTCTAGCTGCAACTTGCACGTCTGTGTGTCCATGGGGTATTTAGACAGATCCATGTTACACGCAACAGTTGTTGTGATTCTAAGAAAGAAAAAGAAATGGGTTCAGAACGAGTGTTGTGAGGAAATGATTGAAAGTATACGTTTCCTTCCAAAGAACATTTCAAGAGGCTTTCGCTCAGATGTTTATGAGGATATGTAACTTGGAGCTTGCATCTAAAGCATTCTTGAGGTTTTCTGTGCTCAACAACACTTGTGAGACTCAGATAAGCTGGATCTAGAGTGGAAGAAACTGCAGTGCTGGCAACTCAGAGGCAAAATGTCCAACAATATTACAGAACAAACATTTACCAGCGTGTTAGCGATGCTTTAGCAGTTTTCAGTGTAATCTTCACGACAAACCCATGTGGGGCTAAGCAGTGACTTGCTTAGATTCACAAAGTTTTGAGTGGCAGGGCTGGGACAGGAGCCCTGATCTCCTGGATCCTTGATGGGATCAGGATGCAGAGCCCCTGGAGAGTACCAGGCATTCTTGGGGTTTATTCAAGGATGCTTAACTAAACACCATCAAAGCCCGCACAGTGGAAGGATAGGCCTATTTCAAAAGATAGGCTTTTATATTCATTTTCATGGACTTACACGTTTTACTAGGTCCCCTTATGTATTAATCACAGTGCTAGGTACTCTAGGAGGCAGATGTGTTCATGGCACGGTGTTCAACTTGAGGAAGCTCTACATTCCCTTAAGAGAATAACAGCTACCTGTTACTGATTGCTTACTGCAAGCCAGTTTCTAGGCTGAGTAATGAGCATGAATTAATCATTTGACTAGCTCTATGACGTAAGAACTGTTAATATTTTCATTTTGTTGTTAAGAAACTAAGGCTCAGAGGGTCAGTAACTTGCCTGAGGTCACAGAGCTTCTAAGGACAGAGCAGAAACTCAAAAGCCAGGCTGTTAATTATTAACTATTAACTATGATTCATTTGTTACTTTTTTTTCAGACTTATTTATTTTTCTCATATAAAAGTCCTAGGTGATAACCACAGCTGGATCCTGGGTTCTCTGCATGGAGACTCTTGTGTGGGTTTTCACAAGATGGTCAGTTGAATTCCTGATAGGGACACTTGGTGAAGAACAGCTCTTTCCAGAGGTCAGGGGTCAGGCAGTGTATGTGTTAGAGATGGCATCAAAGGTGGCCTTGGCGAAGTTGCCCAGGGTGGCAGTGCAGCCCCAGGCTGATGTGTAGCAGTCATTAATGCCAGCCATCAGCAGCAGCTTCTTGGGCACAGGAGCAGAGACGATGCCAGTGCCTCTGGGGGCAGGGATGAGGTGCACCAGCACAGAGCCACAGCGGCCTGTCACCTTGTATAGGATGGTGTGGGACTTGCCAATCTTGTCTCCCCAGTAGCCTCTCCTCACAGGGACAATGGAGAGCTTGGTCAAGATGATGGCCCCTCCAACTGCAGTGGCTACCTCCGGAACATGTAACACCCAGACCAACATGACCGTTGTAGTCCCCAATGGTGACAAAAGTCTTTAACCTGGTTCAAGGCTAGCCAGGCTGGGTCTCCTTCTGCACTAGCATGATCTTTAAAACCTCATCCTTGCCAGACATGGTAGCGCACACCTTTAATCCCAGAACTAGGGAGGCAGAGGCAGGCGGATCTCTGTGAGTTCAAGGCCAGCCTGGTCTACACAGTGAGTTCCAGGACAGCTGGAGCTACAGGGAGACCCTGTCTCAAAAAGACCAAAAAAAAAAAAAAAAAATCCCCACCTCCATCCTTAAGGGATGCTCCCAGGAAAAAGTCAATAATCTCAGATTCCTTAATGGACAGGGAGAACAGGTAGATCTCCTCCAGGGACTTGATCTTCATGTCCCTGACCAGGTGTCCCAACCTTGTGACTGGGATCCACTCCTCTTTCAGCTTTGCCTCCAGGAGCCCCACAGCCAAGACCATGGCCTTGACCATGGCCTGACCGCTACCAAATCCTCCATGGAAGCCTCCACAGCCTCTCAAGCCTAGGTCTCTGGGTCCTCTGGGTCCCACTGCACCGGTGTCATCCAACATTTGGTGTTTCCAGAAGAAGAAGTCATTTGTAATCTATACACAAAATGATTGTGCTAGGTGCTGTAACACAGAGTAGCTGCATATGCATGCACACCAGTTCACGTACAAGTACACATATTCTATGGGAACACAGCCCCATGGAAACATGGAAAAATGTAGATCGAGGTCAATGGAGAGTTAGGTTTCTTGGAAGAGGAGGTTGAGTTTGGTCTAGTCTCTGCAAAATTTAGTGTTTCTGAGGCATATCCAGAAATTCCATTGATTGGTTAGTTCAATCCTTGTAACTTCAGGTCCTTACTATGTATTAAAATATCAGTCCCACTCATATTTGGTTCTTGACTTCCTCCCCAAGGCCTCAGGGAACACAGGTGTGCACAGCCATTGCACAGTCCTTGCAAGTGTAAGTTGTCTGCTATAAGCTACTTCATGCAGCACTTTGGGAGCCTCTTTCCTATTCCAGCCATTGAGGGGCTTCATGAATAATTAGGTGGAAGGAACTTTAGATCTTGAGAATCCGGGGAGGAGAGAATCTATGGGTGCAAGTAGACAGAGGCTTTGGGAGCATACACCTGGCTTCTTTGTACAAACATGACTCAGATAGCAGAGATGCGATCTGGATCTCCCTGCTCCACTGAACCTCAAGAAAGGAAAATTCCTTGTATCTAATTCTCTGTTCATGCCATTGCCCTTCCTTCTTCTTCATCATCTTTGTGTGTATGCATGTCAGGTGTGCTTGCCCATGTGGTTGCATGTGGAGGCCAGAGGCTGGCACTGGGATGTAGTCTTCAATCACTTCTCCACTTTATTTATTTGTATGTGTATGTGATATGTGTGTATGTCTATGCATGTTCCTGTGTGTGGGAGCATATGTGTGAAGGTGTGTATGCACATGTGTGTGCATGCATATGGAGTCCAGAGATTGAAGTTGAACATTTTCCTTGATTGTCCTCTACCTTATATATTGAGGCTGGGTCTTTTACTGAACCCGGAGCTCATGGATTCAGCTAATTTAGCTAGTCCCCTTCCTTTGGGGATCCCCTGTGTCTGTCTCCCAAGGGCTGAGATTGCGGGTGGGCTGCCACACCCACCTGGCACTTAAATGGATGGTAAGGATTATAACTTCAATCCCCATGCTTGGGCAGGAAACATTTCATTCACTAAGCCATCTCCCCCGAGTCTCCATCTTATTTTATTTTTTTGAGACAAGATCTCTCACTGAACCTAGAGCTTGTTGTTTTGGGCTAGACTGACTGGCCAATGAGTGAAAGTATCTGCCTGTCTCCATCCTTCAGCACTCAGGTTACAGATATGTGCCACCAGCCCCAGCTTTTACATGGGTTTTGAGGATCTGAACTCAGGTCCCTATGCTTATATTATACAGCAAGCACTTTACTCATGGAGTCATCTCCCCAGGCCTTTACTTTTTGTTTGCTGCTATTTTTTCTTAATCTTTAAGCCTTAGTTTAGAATCTTGTGAAAGCATCTTCCAACATCATCTCTCAAGCCACAAAGCTATTGCTCAACTTTGGTCCTAGCACCCAGAGCTTCCTTTGTGGTTCTTGGGAGCCTGGCAGGTTTTACTCAGCTCAATGTCCTCAGTATCCAGCATGGGGCCTGGCATAGAGCAGGTGCTCAGAAGATGCCAGATCGTACTGAGAGAGGCCCTTCTATAATGATGACAGGATATAAGAGAGTAGGAACATAAGAAATACAGGAGCACAGGGCTGGAGAGATGGCTCAGTGGTTAAGAGTACTGGCTGTTCTTGCAGAGGACCCGTGTTCAATTCCCAGCACCCCCAGCACAACAGCTCCTTTTGGCAAACTGCCTTCCATGTGGCTTTGTCTTTTCTGTGTCCTCTTAGGTTGGTCTCTAGGGTGTTAGTTTTCATCAGGTGGCTGACAGTCATCTGTAACTCCAGTTCCAGGGGATCCAACACCCTCTTCTGACCTCTGAGGGCATTGCACAACATGAGTGCACTTACACACATACAAGCAATACATTCACACACATAAAATGAAAATGATAAATAAAATATTAAAAAAAGAAATACATGTGCTCAGAGTGGCCACATCAGTGTTGGTCAGAACTACCCAAGATATATGTATGCTTCTCCCTCTAGTTGTTCCTCATTCACATACCTGAGAGCATACAGGACCGTGCCATTGGAGAAGAGGCGGATGAGCCTGTTTCCCACTGTGACTTCATGGAGGAAAGACTTCTTGGACTCTACAATGTAAGTATCTGGTACCCAGAGGAACTCCACAAGACGGGCATCCAATGTGAAGCTCTTATTACCTTCAAATACCAGCCGTGGGTCTGTCCAGCGCTGCCGGAGGTATATAGTGGCTGTGTAGTCCTAAGGGGAAAACGGGGAATGGAAATGGTAGAGAGGAGGAGGAAGACTCCAAAAACAAAAGAAAAGGGGTTAAGTTTTTCCCCCTTTCCTACCTCCACTTAGGGCAAGAGTACACAGACATGGTGAATTATATGATATGATGGGGTAGTTCTCTGCAGCAATGAGAGAACAAAGTCCATTATTTATTCTATATAATAACGTCCACTGTCAAAATGGAGCACACCTTCGTGGCCTTGACCTTCTTGACATATAGCTCACATTGCCCTAAAACAGTCTCTGTCAAGCTGCTGAGGTTTGGAGTGGGTCAAGTGCCTAGGTTACCCACCATGCACAACAGCCCCATTTGGCAAACTGCCTTCCATGTGGCTTTGTCTTTTCTGTGTCCTCTTAGGTTGGTCTTTAGGTTGTTAGTTTTCATCAACTTTTTCTCTTCTCTGAAAGAACATGTGACATCCAGGCCTCCGGATCACACTTTCTTTTCCCCCCAATTTTGGTTCCTTATAAACGCACCCACTTCACTTTCTAGTGTCTCACTTGGCCTTTCGGTCTGTTTTCTTCCTGATGCTCAGAAAACCTATTCTATAAGCATCTTCTTTGTCTTGATTTAGGGGACAAGTCTCTAGCACTGTCCATTCTGCTTCTGAGTAACTTGTAAGTATATCACTGTTAAAAGTAAGGAGAGGGATTTGGGGTGGAATGCCAAGGGTTAACTTACCATGTTACTCTCTGAAATGCTTGAGATGCTTGCAATGTCCAGAGTCAGCGCTATCTGAACTGGATGGCCTGAGAATAATGAAAAATAAAAAATTTAAAAAAACCCAAATTAGAAAGACTTACATAGAAACAAACACACCTCCTCCTCCTCCCAACCATCCATTTCCATCTCCTGCCCCTTCTTTAGATATTGTATAACCAGTGCATATACATTTCTGTTTTAGAAAACAAAACTACTAAAAATTATAAGAACAATATTCATTTATTAGAAATATTTAAATAATCTAGAACTATAAATTTAAAAACTGATTTTATCTCCTCAGGAGAAATCATTTTATATGAAAAATATGCTCAGATACATAGGCACATATTGATACCCAAGAGAGGCCACACTGCTATTAATTAGTGTGTGTGTATATATACATATATATGTATATATACAAATACACACCCACGCACACACACCCCCCCACACACACATATGTCTTTTTGAGACAGCATCTCCCTGTAGCCCTAGCTGTGCTGGAACTCATTGTGTAGACCAGGCTGGCTTTGAACTCTCAGAGACCCACCTGTGTCTGCCTTTCAAGTGCTGGGATTAAAGGCATGTGCTACCACACCTGACTAATTAGTGTATATTTTAAATATTAATTCATCTGTGTGTATGTATGTGTGTGTATGTAATTGCATATGTGTATATCACAATGCACATGTGGAGGTTGGAGGACAACTTTTGAGGCAGGCAAAAGTCAGTTCTCATCTTCTATCTTGTTTTTAAGGCAAAGTCTCTTTGGTTATTTTTGTACTGCACAGCAAACTCCAGGCCAGCTGGCCTGGGAGCTTCTGGACAATTCTGTCTCCATCTCCTATCTCCCCATAAGAGTATTGGGATTACAGATATGTGCCACTGCACCTGGCTTTTACATCAATTCAAGGGATTGAATTTAGGTAGCCAGGCTTGCATAGCAAGTAGTTTTATTCACCGAATCATCTCCCTGGTCCATTAGTGTGTAAAGAAGCTAGTGGTCAGATATCTGCTCCTTCTTCTGTAAAGATTTTTCCTGTGGTGCCTGCAACAGGCTAATCATGTGGAATGTGATAAGGATTTTCCAACGTAATTATGCACAGATAACTTTTCCCTTCCCCTTGGTTAGTAAATTTACCACAAGATGGCATAGAAGATTGCTCATAGCTAAACTCTGGCTGACCCCTGGCACTTTCTTTCTCTTCCTTTATTCTCCAGGAGCTCTAAAGTTTTGGAATTCTAGAATTCTAAGTTCCCCTTAATTAGTCTTGTGCAAAGAGCTGATAGGCCAACTCAATCCTAGAGTTTAGGCAGATGGGAAAACTCAAGAGGGAGCTGGTCTTTGCTCTAGAGACTGGAATGTCAGAGCCATTACTTTCAGAAGCTGGCCAGGCCAGGCCAGTTCCTCCTCTTTGGGTTGGAGATATGGAATAAAGGCCCAAGAGTGTGAAGCATATGAGTTCAGAGCTCGGTTCTAGTATCTCCTTGCTGAAGTTTTCTCACCTGCAAGTGTCACTGCAGGGCCATGGAGAGAGTTAAATGACATTAGAAGCGTGACAGTGTTTTTGCCAAGTGTTAGCAAGAGAGAATGTATGTGAAGTGCCATCCCATCCCTCCTAGGAGTGCTTAGAAATGGTTACCCTCACACAGGTTCTAGCATTACATCTGTCATGTTTTAACACATGCCGCATCAGTGGTGTTTTCCATTCCTTCTCACTCTTTTCCATAATCCTAGCTAATGTTGGAGAAGGGACAGCTTTGTTCACCAAGTTAATGAATGCAGTAGATTTCGCTTGCAATAAGTAACTGAGAGAGCCTCGGGACAGTGGCAATGCATTAAGCAGGAAGAGGAAAGGTGGAATTCCAAAGAAGCTAGAAAACATCAAATTGCTCAGAATCAGACAAAGCAACTTAATAATTAAGTAATTGGTAGCCCAGGAAAATTAATCCATAGTATGTAGGTAAGAATTTGGAAATGGGGTTTTAGAGTCAATGCAATAAAAAGATAAGTGACTGTTAGAAGTTGGTGGGAAAGGGGAAATCTTTGAGGGCAGAGGTTGTTAAAGGGTGCAGTACCAAGTGGTTTTCTGCCCCTTGAAACAGCAAAGTGCAGCATCAAGAAGAGTTTGGAGTGAGGAGAGCGATATCTGAATCCCAAGCAGTCTTGTGACCTTGAGCACATTACTTCTGTGCTGTCATCTCATGTGTTAAATAGAGCTACTCCTGCAGTCACAGTTCAAGTGTTTGTCCCCTCCCAAATGTGTATTGAAATGTAATTGTCATTGTAACAGTATTAAGAGGTGGGAGATTTAAGAGGCGATCAGGTCATGAGAGTTCCACCCTTATGGGTGGGTTTGGTGCCATTAGGAAAGGGTAAATTCACTCCATCCACCCTTGTTTTCTTCAGCCCTCTCACCTTCTATCATGTGATGACAAAAAGAGCCATTGCCAAATGCTATTATTCTAATATTGAAGTATAAGCACACGAATCTGGGTTTGTTATTAATTAGCTAGGCTCAGATAATTGTGTTACAGTAGTGCAAAACAAATAAAGGGCATATCATAGAGGATTGAGTTAGGGGTCGAGGAAAACAGTAGGTCACGTTAGCTGCCCTCTCTGAAGACCCAGAGCTGAAAGTACACATGAACACTCTAGTTCCACTGTGTTTTTGTTTAGTTTTTTTCCTAGTCCAGATCTGGCCACAGTTGGCTGTTTTATGGACCAGAGCTTATTTTCTTCCCCTGAAATTATAAAAGTAAGCTGTGCCACCAGAGGGCACCTTTCTCCTAAGAAAGAGGTCAAAGCCAGCACCTGGGAGTATGTGTAGTGTGTCCACTTGAAAAGCTCTGTCCCTCTAGTCTTGGGAAAATCCTGGGCCGGGGGGGTGGCGGGAGGTTCTTGTCTTTCAAGGACCTCAGTGGTCAAGAAACTAAATGTACAAATATTACAGGAAGCAAGGGCACTTTCATGGGCCTCCAGGCTGCTGAGGGATACAGATTCCTTTAAGAAGTAGAGGGTCAAAAGTCACCAAGCAAGAAATGTGCTTCCTGTCTATTTAACTGAGGTCCCTTTGCCCATTAGCTCAGGTAGAACTTCAAAATCCCTTAAGGCCATCGCAGGTGTCCTGTTCTCAGAACAATCTCCTGGCCCAAGACCCCTGCCTTTGGTTGGATTGCCATTATGCAAACATCAAGGGCAATGTCCTCACTTAATTGTTTGAGGTTTAAGAGGCAAGAGAAATTGACCTGAGCCTGACCTGAGTTCAGGCTCACAAGCTTGTTGCTAGTGTTCAGGAAGGCCTGGGAAACCCACAGCATGTGGTGGCTGTCTAGGTTCCTTGACATAAGGAACTCAGATCCTAACTGCAGAGCTAGGCAGATTGCCTAGATCTCCAACTGAGCAGGTGAAATTGCCTAAGGGTCCCTCTGCTGTACTCTGGAATCCATCGGCATCCTTACTCCGAGGCCCTGCAAATGGGTGGTAACATGGTATGCAGACACTCAGTGACCTGAACACAGCAGAGATAGTAAGGCAGACATTCCAGGAGGCCTCAAAGCAGAGGCTTCATCTTCTGCTGGGAAGCTTTGCTCAGGGACACCAAGCTTTCCCAAACAAATTTAGACCTATATTCCTGCCTAAGACACTTCTACCTTCCTTCCTGCTCTCTTTCCTCTGGTGAAGTCAGACCTACCTTATAGCCTGAAAGCTCTCCTGTCTTCCCTCTCTTTCCTTACTCTTGACAACCAAACAAATACCTTGAAGAGTTAATGTCCTCCTGGAGGCTGGCCTCAGTGGACCTGGACTAACACACTAGTTCTAGATCTGACTTGAGAATGTTACCATCTGAAGAGAGAAGCAGGAGGCAAAGGGACTGAATTTACTACAACCAGTCCACAGGGAAGACATACTGCTTCGTGTTTACCCACTTCATCCACTCTTGTAAGGGAGATGGGATGTCCCCATTTTACAAGAAGGGAAACTGAGGTAGAAAACACTGAGGTACTTGCTAAACAGCAAAGTGAGGAGCCAAACTCAGGTTTTTTTTTTATCTCCAAGACCCTTTCTACTACTTTCTTTTGTAGTTGGTCTCATTCACTTTCTCCTGTCTCATTTTTTTTTTTTAATAAACACCAACTGACAACTCGCTCCATGCTTCTGCTGGAGTGAGCGAGGTAAATGAACAAGTATCCTCAAAGGGGCTGCAGCTTAGACCTTTAATAGACATAAAGCCTGGTACAGGAGAACAGGATATGACAGTGATTCAGAGATGTAGTCAAAACAAGGAGATGGGCTGTGGTGGAATCAGGGAGCGCTTCTCAGAGGAAGGTAGCCTTTGCTCTGAGACATGTTGGGAAATTGGCATTATTTCCAGGAAGACAAGTTGGAAGAGCAACTCAAGGAAGATAAGGAGCATCTGTAAAGGTACAGAGGCCCGGGAGGCTAAGGATGCTGGTGGGCATTTGGGGCATACAGTGAAACATTGTGGGAGGATGAGAATGGCAGACTGATGGACAGAGGAAGAGCTGGGAAGGGCCTGGCATGCCTGGACTCCAGGTAAGGATGCTGGGGCACATGCCTATGTTCTGAGCAGGCAAATTACACAGGAGGTCATCCAGGGAGCAGTGAGGGGAGACAGCTGTATGGTGGCAGGCTGCAGGCAGGAAGACCAGCTGGGGTGCTGATGGCATATGGTTAGTTCCTGAAAGAATGACCCTGGAAGAGAGTGTGGCAGAGATTGCTAGAAACTGTTGTGATAACCACAGTGGGGGAGAGTAAGTCTTTGTCTTGCAAGTGGAAAGGCAAAGTTCTTCAAGACAGCATGAAAAATCGTGGTCACACACTCGCATTCATCCCCACCAATCCCTAAAACAGCTGCAGATCAGAGGCCAGAGTTGGCAAAGCCTCCTGAAGTTCTCTGTTGCATTTTGTCTGATTCTGACCTTTTTAATTGATGTCCTGGTCACAAAGGATAACTTACCACCAAAATTGGGCCTGAGGAATTTGTTATATCCTGCAGTGAGGTTCTCAAAGCCAGGCAAGGAAAGCTTGTCACTTCTGCTGGCCTCCACATTGAACTGGTTTCCCCAAATGCACATCCTGGAAAAGAAAATGGAGTTTGTTGCCTATCTGTGTTAATAAACATAGATAGACGTGACTTGAATGTATGCAGATATGAGTGTTTGTGTGCAGTGACTTTCCTAGGGAGAAATCTCTTTTCAGTGAATGAATTATTTTTCAGTGGGTAAGTTGTCATCTCCATTTTATTACCCACTTGCCATAGACACCATATAATAATTTAGGAAATCTCTATGTGCCTTTTCTTTCTTTCTTTCTCTTTTTTGACAGGGTCTCCCAGTCACAGCCCACCTGGAAGTCACGATGTGAACCAGGGTGGCCTCTCCCAGAGATCCACCTGCCTCTACCTCCCAAGGGCTAGGATGAAAGGTATACACCACCACACCCGGCTAAGTGCCTTTTCTTCTATCATCTATCTATTATGTATCTAACTTCTATCTATCATCTATCTACCTATCATCTATTTATCTATCTATCTATCTATCTATCTATCTATCTATCTATCTATCTATCATCTATCTATCTATCATCTATCTATCTGGCATCTATCATCTATCTATCTATCTATCTATCTTCTATCTATTCTGTGTGTGTGTTTGTGAGTGTATACACACATGCTTGTGTGGGGTATGCATGCTTGTACACACATGGAAGCCAGAAGATGGAATTGGGTGTCCTCTATTACTCTGCCTATTCCTTTAAAGAAGGGTCTCTCCCTGAACCTGGGACTCATGTTTTCTTGGCTAGGCTGTCATCCTCCCTACTTGGAGCTGGGGTTACTGGTATACGTGAGATGCTTGGCTTGTTCCATGAGCACTGGGATCTGAACTCTGAGCCTTCTGACTGCATAATATGCATTCTTAACCAATGAGCCATCTCTTCCTCCTTTCTCCAAGTATCTTTTCAAAAAAAAAAAAAAACACACACACACACACACAAGGGGTTCACCTATTGTTGCGGCCCCCTGCTGTCTGGGTCGCAGTCTCTCCATGTCCGAATAGCCCAAGGGGCTCGGCGTTTCATGCAGAGACTCCCCTTTTCAGCAGGGCGCCTCCTACTTTCTTCCTGACTCACTTTGAAGTGGCCGCCACAGATGCCTTACCTGAAACATGACCTCTGGCATAGAAACTACCGGGTTTTTTCTATATGATAATCAGGCATTGTCTGACAGCCTGATTGATAGAAGCCCACCGCCACATGTAAATAAAGCATACTACAGAGCACCTATCAGCTGAGGCTTTTGCTACTGCCTCCACACTATAAATCTTCTAGTTTTCACCCTAATAAACCAGAGCTGTATCACTGAGTCTAACTGAGCTGTATCACTGAATCCGACTGAGCTGAGTTGTGTTTCACTGAGCCTGGGACCAGCCTGTGAGCAGTCTTCCCGGAGGAGTTCCGTCAACACCCACTCGCGAAGCTTCTGCGTTTGTGGTTCCTGCACCTCCCCGCCCTTGGTTTGGTGGCCAACGACTGCAGGCACAGGGGGAGCATCCCGCAGCTAGCCTGAGCCTCCCGCAGCTTGGCGCAGAGCCCCCTGCAGATTGGCGCAGCCCACCTGCAGCCCGCAGAGCCCGCCCGGCAGCCTGCCTTGGCGCAGAGCCTGCACTCGCCACCGTCACAGACCTGCCTGATCTGCAGAGCCTGCACCCGGCAGCCGCCGAGAGCCAGAGACCCGCCCAGCAGCGAGACCCACACCCAGCCAACAACCTATCTGTGACAATTTTGGACACTTTCGTTCTCTAAATATAATGAATCACAGAAATTTACTGTTCTGGTGTTTCAGGGATGTTAAGAGACTAGCTATTGCCTTGCCTAAGAAACTCCTGCAAGCCCTTCTACCACATGGTCACTCACAGAGCAGTTCACACTGGGCCATTCTGGGGTAGCACAGCTCACCTTTGAATGAAGAGACTCAGACACATAAAGGTCAAGTGGAGGCTGATGCTCATGTTGAGGGAGCTATTCACACAGAGATCAAATGAAGAGCCACCTGGGGAGACAGGACAATGTGAGGGAAACAGTTCAAAGGCTCAACTTCTTCCAGCCCAGCTGCTCTCTTGAGTTTTTAGTCATAGTATCTTCCCAACATGCACAGGAACAGCCTCTTTGACTCCTTCTGGTATAGCCCCTGCTCCCCATGTGTCGTTTAGGAATGCTGTCATTTGGAAGGCTAACATTTTGAATCTACCCCAGATATAGGTGGAGTCCTGATGTATGCAATGAATGGTTCACCAGAACTAGTAGCTATAGCCAGTCTGTATATTTGGGGAGCCCCACACTATCTTCACCTTGTCCTTGTCCTGACACCTCCCAACACTACATTCATGCTGACCCAACACTGTCCTATTTATTCCAGGCTCCAGGCCTTCTAGGCCAGTTGTGTTCTTACTAATTTTCCTCCTGGCCTTGTGGAGTAGGTGGGCTAATCCCTGTTCCATGAAGAGAAAACAGGTTCCTGGAAAGCAAAACATACTAGTGAATGCCAGAGGTGAGTCTGAGTCTGGCGCTGACTGCCTTGCCTGCCAGGAATCTCTTTCTTGAGAATCAGCAATGGCCTGTGCTTTCCTTGGCCTGAGCATGCACACCATTCTCATAAGACCTTCATATCCAAGTTGTCTGGCTGCTGTGTGCTAGTGTGCACATGAGTACTGTTCAACAGGCACAATCCAGAGGCCTAGCCAACTCAGATGTGGGAACCGACATCAGATGCCCCATAGAGAGCAGACCAGTTTCAGACTGGCTATGCTAGCAAGATGGCAGAATGGTGCCCTCAGGCTCAAGCCCCTTCCCAGGCAGCCTACTTGGGGCCCTCCTTTTGTAGGGTAACCTGAGTGAGTCATCCCACTTTCTAAAATCTAAGCAATCTGGAGTTTTGGGTCAGATCCAGCCATTCATTGAATAATATGTTACTTACAAAGCCAATACCTACTCATTGTAGAAATGAAAACAAGTCAGAAATGTATAAAGTTAGATTTGCAAGCTGGGCGTGGTGGCACACTCCTTTAATCCCAGCACTTGGGAGGCAGAGGCAGAGTCCCACCACCAGCCAGTGTAGGTTTATAGATGGTAACAAATGTATCCCTTTGTTGTACAATGCTGATAGCTGAGGTGGTTGTACATGTGTGAGAGGTTCAATTTTACTATAAGCCTTAAACTGCTCTAAAAAGTAAAGTCAGTAGAATACCTGGTAGGTTGACCAGACTCCCAAGAGCACTTGGGAAACACAGATTAGATTGAATAGGCCTTAAAAAAAGACAAATAAGGCTGGAGAGATGAGTTCTTAACTCAGTGGTTAAGAACTGTGGCCATCTCTCATGTGGGCTCATGTGCACATACCTACACACACACACAAACACACACACACACACAGACACACACACACAAACACACAAATACGCACAAATAATAATGGAAGATATGGAGTGGGGGTGGTAAGGTGGGGGTTGGGAGAGGGAAGGGGATCTGAATATGATCAAAATACATTGCATGAAATTTTTGAATCAATAAGAAATTTAAAAAATAAAGTCGATTTGAAAAGACAAAACAAAGGAAGTGTTAAGTCTCTCCTTCATTTCTTCTTTCTAGTCTTATGCTTCAGATGTATCCATCTTTGACATTTGAAATATTTTCATTGATTCTCTGAGAATTTCATATAATGTATTTTGATCATATTCAGACCCCTCCTTATCCCCTCCAGATCCACTCCCACCTTCCTAGCCCCTCCCCTCTATATTTCATGTCTTCAATTTTTTAAGGCCTATCGAGTCTAATTTGTGTTCCCCAAATACTCCTGGGTGTGGGTCCATCCGCTGGAACCTGGCCAACCTACCCAGGATCACACTCTTAAAAAAAAACTGACTCCTCCCAGCAGCTATCAGTTGCCAATAGCTCCTTAGCTGGGGCTGGGGATTCTTATCCATGTCCCCTGGCCATGTTGGGATTTTGTCTGACTTGGACTTGTGCAGGTCTTGGGCATGCTGTCACAATCACTGTGGGTTCATATGTGCAACTGCCTTGTGTCCAAAAAACAGTTTCCTGGTAGCCATCCACCACCTCTGGCTCTTACAGTCTTTCTTCCTCTCTTCCGCAAAGATCCCTGAGCCTCACCTCGGGAGGAGAAGGTGTGATATAGATGTCCCATTTAGGGCTAAGTACTCTGCAATCTCTAATTCTCTGCACATTGACCTATTGTGGGTTTCTGTTTTAATCATCACCTGCCGCACTCAACTCAACTGCACAAAACTCAATTCCAAATGAATCAAGAACCTCAATATAAGACCTGACCTGATACCTGGAATTTGGTAGAAGAGAAAGTAGGAAGTACATTGGAACTTATAGGCACAGGAAAGGACTTTTTGAACACAACTCAGATAACAAAGGTATCAAGACCAACGACTGACAAATGAGACATCATATCAAAGGACACCATAATTTGAGCGAAGAGACAACCTACAGAACAGGAAAAAAGTCTTTAACAACTATAAATATGATAGAGGGTTAATATCTAGAATATATATAGTAAAAACAAACCCTAAAAAGACTAAACAGAAAAACAGAAAACAAAAAACCAAACCAAAACAAAACAAAAACCAAACAAACAAAAAAACCCCCACAACCCAGTTAAAAATTGGGTCAAAGAACTAAACAGAGAGTTCTCAAAAGATGAAACACAAATGGACAAATGGTTGAGAAATATTTTTTAAACGTTCAACATCTTTAGACTTCAGGGAAAAACAAATTAAAACTACTTTGATATTTCATCTTATCCCAGTCAGAACAGCTAGGATCCAAAAGACAAATGACCAGTGCTGGCCAGGATATGGGGAAAGGGAAACTCTTATTCACGGCTGGTGGGAATGCAAACTGGTGCAGCCACTACAGAAATCAGTGTGGAAATTCCTTGAAAACCATTTTTAATCCACACATGCACATATATTTATGCACACATATTTCTGCAGATAAGAAAAATTAAAAAGGAAACTTGGGGTGGTAGTATATACTTTAGTTATTACTTTTTTCCACTTAAGTGTAATAGAAGCTATTTATGGAATACTTTATGCGTGTTTTCCTGAGCTAAGCAGCTCTACAATCTTCACACATCTTTGAAGTTATTAAGAACATTCCCATTTTCAAAGGAGAAAGCTGAGGCTTTGAAATAAGGTGACTGATGTTCCCAAGGTTACACAGCCTGTGAGGGGTCAGCTTAAATGCAAGAGACTGACTCGAGTCCTTTTAATCACTGTACCATGTGAAACTTGCTTTTCCTGTCATTGGCCACACCTTTCCAAGTCAATGTCTGTAGCTCTGCCTTATTCTTCTAAGTGGCAAGATGGCTCATACTATGAATATACCAATGTTTGCATGCCATGTGTCCTCTTTACTTGCATACTGTTACTTACAAAACTTTAACTGTTATAAAATCAGCAATGAATCTTTGCACATAAACTCTTATGCACAGTCTTGTTTTTTTTTAAAAAATACCTTTCCTTCTCAGTCATCAAAAAATACCAGCTATAAAATCAACACTATCAATCTACTGTGACCATATTTGTACATTCTTTCTTTAGTCCTTCTCCCTGATTCCTCTTCTTTGCCATGTCCCTAGCATCAAATTTAAGAGGTTCCATGGAGTGGGTTCTACATCCCCCCATCCCTTTATTCAACATTCTAAAGTTTGAATGAGCTCCTTATATGAGCCAGGCACATAAGATCAGCAGAGATCTTGACTAATGGGCAAAGAGGTGTGCCAGCAGTAAGTCACATGCCCCATTGCCACCCTACACCAGGAGCCCAGGCAATGGGATGTTTGGTGTGCCAAGAAAGCAAGTGACCAGTTCCCCTCAGGGGGATGGAACAGAGTCAAAGTGGAAATCACAGAGACATTCATCTGGTTCTGGAAGACCCTGTAGCACTGGCCAGCAGGATAAAGAAGGCCAGGGGTCTTGAGAGGCTAAGACAGAAATGGAGGCTTGTCCTTGCCCCTAGAACCCATTCACACCCAGTCTCTTCCCTCAGTCCTTGATATCTGGAAATTCCTCCTAGTCTGGCCCAGACTGGTCCTGTTCTCATTTGGGGATATTCCAAATCTTCCACCTTCTATATGAAAGTGCCCTTGATCCCGTCCATTGTGGGGAACCTTCTAGTCTTTATCTTCAAGAGTGATACGAAATAGGGACTTGCTGGTGACCAAGCCTATATTAGGAAGATAATATTTGGGTTATGGGCCTTGAATCACCTCCCAGAACTCTCTGAACAGCTTTGTTCAACTGAAGGAGTGTGACTGCATTCTATCTGCTGGCTCTGCTAGGGGCTGAGCGTGTCTCATTGTAGAATGGAAAAGCAGTGGGGAACCTTTTAGATACCATGTTTGTCACTTAATCCTTTAATTATCATGGTTATCTGGTCCAGGAGTCTAATCTCAGACTTGTGAAGGATTTGGCTGAGATCACACTGCAGTTATATGGCTGTGATTTGAATCAGCCTTTTCCAAGTCCTTGGGCTTTGCCCAGGGCACACTTGGCACCACTTTCCTTTTGTGATTTTCTTGGTGAGGGCTGTGTTACTAAGGCCTTTCCTCATCTCCACCCAGCTCAGGCTCCATGCCTACTTCCTCACAGATGACCCTGAGCATGCTGAAGTGATTGAGGACAAGGAAATAATGGTATAGGAAGGAGCCTCAGGAGTGACATGCTTGGTCCCAAGTTCCCCAAACAGAATAGGATCACACTTGGCTCTGCTCCTTATGCAAAACCCACTTTGTGGAAGCAGTGCTACATCTAGTGAACAAGCAGGGTAGCAAATTCAGCTGGAGTCATCAGTCCACGTGGCTTACAAGCCAATCTTTAAGTGCTGGTCTGAGTGGAGGCTCAGGCCTCCTACTTGGATATAGACATTGGAGTTGGTACTTAGTGGTGTTGCACAGAACCACGGGAGGGCAGTGTCCTGAAGGATTTTGCTGTCTCTATAGCTGCACCTGCAGATTCTGGCTGGAACCCTGGAGCCTTTTGCATCTCCTGTGCACAAGGAGTAGGTGGGCAGCGCTAAGAAGAGGCAGCTTTTGCACCCTTGCCCTTGCTGAAGCTCTTTGGCTAAAATCTCATCTCTATTTGTAAAGGGTTCAGAACCTGAACTTTGGACTCAGACAAACCCAAGTCATATTCAAGCACTCAACCTCATTTTCCCACTTGACAAATAGGAATAAACACACACACACACACACACACACACACACACACACACACACTAGTACTTTTCATTACCCTTTGCCTTCTGTGTCTTCCTTTGCCTTCAGTAATCTCAACATGACTAAGAAAACCCCAAGCTCAAGTTCTTTTTCATACACCCAGTGCTGCCACCTTGGGTGAGAACTGACATGCTTCAGGAAGGACAGGTCAGACACAGGACATCAGTGTTACCTGGGAGGCCTATGGCACTTTTTCTGGACTGGCTCTGAGAGTCTTGGGGTGATTCCAAAGGGGGTTTTCACTCCCATTTGACCACATAAACAGTATGAAGCCCAAGTGTGTCATACCCGAGCATCCTTCCTACATATACCACTGATCCTTGTCTCCAGTCACTTTAGCAAGTTTTAAGTCATCTGGGGGAGGCAGGCATGAAGCCCGAGTTAGGGTGAGGTGAGGAAATGCATGAGTGCCCTGGGTCCTCCCCAAGAAAATTATGAAGATAAATTAGTGCTAGATGTTCCCTGTGCCTGTTGGTCTTGGCTGGCAGCACAGAGACAGATAGTTACAACTCCAGCACCAGACAAGAGGAATGCTCATCTGGACTCTGTCACTTGTTCTCAGTTTGTTTTGCTCATCCCCTAGGCTTAGTTTCTTCCACTTTAACAGGGGGCTCATATTATATGGTAAGACCCAAGACAGAGTTAAGGCTCCACAGATTCTAGGCCTGGCTCCCTCCCTTCCCTTCCATCCATTCCAGCAGGTCTTGCACCTGGATCTCCTTCCTTCCCTCTCTCCAAGAACCAGAGGGCCAGCAGTTTTCTTACCAGGTAGTTGTTGGGTCTCTATTATGGCAGGTACTTGGGGCGTCCAAGAAGGGCTCTCAGGCAAGTCATGGTCTTCTGGGTTCCCAGGATCCTCTCCATCTCATCTGGGACCCTTTGGATGTGGGTATGCAGCCACTCTGATATTCTCTCTCTCTCTCTCTCTCTCTCTCTCTCTCTGAAAGGTGGAGCTGCTGAACCAGCTTCAGGTGGGTGGAGATTCCTCTGGCTCCTCCTTTGGTGGAACTCCTACTGGTCCTGGATTGTTTGTAGGAATCAATTGGCTCCTGCTATGACTACTGACTGCCAGAGGTTTGATGCTATGTTGGTGTCTCAGCGATACTCTCAAACTACAGCCAGGAAAGACTTCTGAGATTTAAGGCTCCTAGGAGTTAAGTGGGCGGCCCCACCCCCTATGACAAGTTCTGCTTTTGGAGGGCAGCCCTCCATCCTGGCATACAGGAATAGGAATTCCATTATTACAGTGGTTAAGCTGAGGACTCACTTCTAGTCCTCAGCTTCTTGTCCACAAAGTAACTAAATCATTTCTATGAGTCTCATTCCTGGCTCTGCATTGTGTGCATTTGTCTGAGATGAACAGAGAACCAGTTCTATCTTGAAATATGCTTTCAGGTCTCAGGACTTTCCAGACTGACAAGTTGCAAAGAGACAGAAAGGTGATGGGATTGGGGAAGTGAGGCTTAGCAGACCGATGAGGGAAGAAGCGGGAGAGACTCTGGGAGGAATTTCGCCAGACATTCCTACCTTGTGTCCTACCCTTTCTGTATCCCGAACCTCCCACAAAACATTCTTTAAGTCCCCACCACGTCCCTGTATAGAATTTCCAGGGATGGAGGCTTTCTTCCTCCAAGGCCAGCTGAGCTTGCTGACAGAAGTGTTTCCACAGTGCTCCTTCAGTCTTCCCCTATAATAGCTAGGGGCCCAGGACCTCATTTGACTCTATCCTCCAGAAGAGAAGTCCCTAGGAGCTTGGTTTTATACCCTGAGAAGGCCGGGAGCAAAAGAGGGAGTCAGAGAGAGAGGAACAGGGAGAGAGCTGAGGCTATGGTAGGATGTTCAGAGGCACCCTTCTCTCCTGGCAATGTCAAGTTCAAGCTCCTGTGTAGACCCTGCCATCCTGGAGCTGGGAGGTAGAATACACAGAGAGGCAAGAGGGCTCACAGGGAGCTGGAGCTGCAGGCAGCAGAAGGAAGTGGGCGGGAGGGGAAGCTCTTAGCTCACAATGCACAGTAGATGCTGCTGGCCCCAGACCAGCTTCTTTAGTGTTCTTCTGGAGCCTGGCCAGCCCCCAAAGCATCTCAGTGCAGATGGAGAGGGAGTGGACTCCGACAAGAAAGCTCTTTCACATCCCTTGAGTGGCTTCACTTTCACCTGGCAACCTGAAGGCTGCTAGAACAGGAATGACTGAGCAGTGGTTTCAAGTTCTCCATGAATGACAGTGGTTTAGGGCTATTCTCAGAATTTCCAAGAAGTTCTCACACAAACAAAGGTTCAATAATCACAAAGACAATTCAGCGTAGGAAGGCCTCTTGGGAGGGAGTAACTGGGAACAATGAGGTTTAGATGTAAGATCCTGGCTGGCTAGCCCACAGCTTTGGGCAAGTTGCTTAATTTCTCTGGATTTGCATCCTCTGTGACAAGTGGGGGTGACAATTCTTCCCTCAGGGTAGTAAGTTGAAGGGACTGGTTTTTGACAGGTATGGTGCAGTATCTCAAAGTATCTGGCACAGAGGACCCTGACATGCTGTAGGTACTCAATAAACTGTTCTTTCCCCCCAATAGTAGCTTCTCTCTCTCTTTTTTTTTCCTTCTTAATTTGTTCTAGTTAGCTTTCTGTTGCTGTGATAAACACCGTGAGCAAAGTGACTTGGTGAGGAAAGAGTTTATTTTAGCTTAGAGGTCTATCACTGAGAGAAGCCAAGGCAGGAGGGACCCAAGGCAGCAGCCTGAAGCAGAACACCTGGAGGAATGTTGCTTGCTAGTTTGCTCTGTGGCTGGCTCCTAGTTAACTTTTTTTTTTTTAAGATTTACTTATTTTATGTGTATGAATGTTTTGTCTTCATTATGTATGTGCAACCACATGCACACTTGGTGCACAGGGGGACTAGAAGAAGGCATCATATCCCTTGGAACTGGAGTTACAGATGGTTGTTAACCACCATGTGGTGCTGAGAATCAAACCTGGGTCTTCAGCAGGAGCAGCAGCAAGAGCTCTTAACCACTGAGCCATCTCTCCAGCCCTAGCTAGATTTTTATATATAGCTCAGGACCACCTACTCAAGAAATAGTTCCACTCCTACATCATTCAATAATCAAACATTTCTGTATAGACATGCTCATAGGCCAATCTGATGCGGGAAACCCTCAACTGAGGTTCCCCCTTCCCCGGTGACTCTAGATTGTGTCGTTGATAACAGAATCTAACCAACACAGTACTTACCTATTTAAGCTTACATCTACCCATGTATCTATATATGTGTGTTTCTGTCTGTATATGTATATGTCTATCTTTAGCATCTTGATATTATCTAACTATCTAATAATTTATTATCTGTCATCTAACTAACGATTAATCTTCCAATCAGATTGTTGGTGCTTTTATTACTCAGTTTTGTAGTATATTTCTATGTAGACAATCAAGAATATTAGTGAACAGAGTACACTTGGGAGCTAAGGCAAATTGGATTTGAAGTTAATAAAGTAGATGCGATAAGGTAAAATTCTTATCTTTCATTTCAAATAATGCTTCAGTGTAGTGCCAGCTTGTCCTTGGATTTCTTTTAGATCTGAAGAAATTCCCAGGTGGAATTTCCAGGAATTGTGTTGACTTACGGTGGTCGCAGATAACCTTCCTCCTGGGCTCCAGGACCCCTGGCAGTCCCCTGGTTCCAACTGTGACCTCTAGTGTCAGGATACCTGAGGTCCCTGGTATTTCAGGATGTCCAACTATGCAGATGGACTGCCCACATGTTACTCACCTCAGTGTCCACCTCCCACTCCACATGGCTACACGCCCTCCTAGAATGTGTCCCATAAAAACAAAGAATGAGTCAGTGTGAACCTTGTGTACCTGGTCCTCTGTCACAATGTATTTGGCATACTGATAGGCCATAATACTGCCATGCATTTGCATAGGACTCTGCAGTTCTCAAGCCTTTTACTGTGCACACCTCTTCTTTCTTGAGCTATATAATAGTCTTATGAAGCAAAAGGACTTGCTTCTTTCCTTTTTAAAAATTACTTGAAAGAGAGAGAGAGAGAGAGAGAGAGAGAGAGAGAGAGAGAGAGAGAGTTGGGGTACATACCAAGAGTGCTCATATGGAGCTTAGAGGACAACTTGTGAGAGTCAGTTCTTTCCTTCCACCGTGTGGGTTCCAGAAATTACACTCAGGTCATCAAGACTTGGCTATAGGTACCTTTCCCCGCTTAGCCATCTCACTAGCCCCAGGGCTTGTTTCTTTATTCTCAGTTTTCAGATGAAGACACTGCATGATAGCACCCAGCTATTAAACATTAGAGCCAGCATGGTCGGGAAGTCAGGTCTTAGGCTTCAGGTTAACTGCATTATTACCATATACCCATTGTTCCTGCCAGGCCTGTTGGACTCAACAGCTATTGGCTTGCCCATCTCTGTTACTAAGCTGAGTGCTGCCTGAGTCTAGCTCTTATTAACTGGCATATCTCTAACACCAAGGTCAGTCCCTTGGCCATTTGTGAGTCCTTAAGACATCTACAGAACTAGGGCTGAGGATGCATCTTAGCGGTAGAGCACTTGCCTAGCATATGCAAGGCCCTGGGCTCAATCCCCAGCAACTAATCAGCCAACCAACCAACCAATCTACAGAGCTAATGAATCAATGAATGAATACAACTAAGTCATACAAGTGAACCTGGGCAATAGCAGCATATTATTTGCTATTTAATATCTTCTTCCTCCTCCTCCTCCTCTTCTTCCTCCTCTCTCTCTCTCTCTCTCTCTCTCTCTCTCTCTCTCTCTCTCTGTAATCTAGGGCTTGAACTCAGCTCTTGAGCAGATACTCTATCACTGAGCTATAGCTTCAACTAATTTTAATTTCTAATAATAATACATACATGTGCACCTTTCTGTAAGCCTCCTTAGTGACAGGGCATACATATTCCAACTATGCTTAAAGGACCAGAAAAAAAAAAAGAAATAGATGAAAATTCTTTCTGGGCAATGTCACCACACATCAGACAAACCATGCAGATTCCCCTGTATGATTTTCCCAGAGGTGTCTCTACCAGAAAGAAACCCAAGTGTACCTCCCTCCCCAGGGTATTAGCCCTCAGAGCTGGGGATGGAACCTAAGGCCTCAAGCATGCTAACCAAAGGCTCTAGCACTAAGTTATGTCCTCAGCCCCCAGGGGTAGTCTTTAAAAGTGCACATCCCTGGACCAGGGTGATGGCTCAGTGAGTAAAACTGCCTGCCACCACAAGCCTGACAACCAGAATTTAATTCCTATAATCCAGTAAAAAGCCAGATGTGCAAGCACAGATCTGTAATTCCAGTGCTTTTATTGGAAATGGGAGGCAGAGACTGGAGAAACACCTGGAAGTTGCAGGCCAGCTAGCCTGGCATATGTAGTGGCAAAATATCAACAAGAGAGATGCTGCCCCAAAAACAAGATTGGGGGGGGTTGGAGAGGTGGTTCAGTGGTTAAAAGCATTTGCTGCCCTTACAGAGAACCTGGTTTCAGTTCCCAGTACCCACATAGTGACTCACAACCTTCTGAAACTCCAGGTCCAGGAGATCTGCCCTCTTCTGGCCTCTGCAGGCACTAGGCATGCCCATGGTACACAAATATACATGTAGGCAAACATTCATACACATAAAATAAAAATAAATCTTTTAAAAAAATATCTTATTTATTATTTTTATTTTATGTGTATGAGTGTATTGCCTGTGTGTGAGTGCACCTGTGTCATGCAATGTCGTGAAGGTCAGAAGAGGGCTTTAGATTCCCCTGGAACTGGAGTTAAGGATGGTTCGTAGCTGCCATGTGGGTGCCGGAAATCATACCCAGGTCCTCTGCAAGAGCAGTCAGTGCTCTTAACTGCTGAGCAATCTCTCCAGCCCCAATAAAAATAAGTCTTAAAAAAAA